CAAAACAAAAAGAGGCCCAGCTATATGAATAATATAAAAACTCCTCCAACCACCCTGCCCTAGGCATGTGGGGTGGAGGACCACCCTGCCCTAGGCATGTGGGGTGGGTGTCTATATGATAATCGCCTGCGAACAACAAAGAATAACCAGACCCTAAAAAGTAAGTAAGCCTTTGAAGGTGTTATCAATAGAGATGTTAAAAGGATTTAAGTTCCCTGGTTAGTTTTCAATAAAAGACCAACCCTAAAGGCCCCCACTGGCAACCCTGTCAGGACCCCTCTCACTGTTGAGAGCTTTTTCTGTATCTTCACTTAATAAACTTCTATTGCTTTACTAAAAATAAAATAAAATAAAATAAAATAAAATAAAATAAAATAAAATAAAATAAAATAAAATAAAATAAAATAAAAACTCCTCCACTGAACACATCAGCTTGTTAGAGCTTTATGATTTCTGGCTATCTTGTTCTTTAGCTTAACTATAAATCAGTGGTCTTCTAACTTTTCTCCTTCTTTCTTTATGTTAGCTTGTAGCTGCAAATTTGATGTAGTATACTAATCAAGAACTCTAAAGAAAGTTTAAATCCTATATAACTAACTCTGTAAGTCTAAAGCCAACATTAAATCTAATAAAACAAAAACAATTAAAAAAAAAAACCCTAGTGGTACATCTTAGAAATCTTTCCAAACAAGTTCATTTGCTCATTCTTTTTTATTTTTTTAACAACTTCTTAGTATTCCATTGTGTGGGATGTACCATAGTTTAATTATTTCCCTATTGAAATAATGTTGTAATGAATAACCTTGTACATTCATCATTCCATACATTTGCAAGTGGATCTTAAGGATAAATTCCCAAAACTGGTATTGCTGATTTGTGTTAGATATTGCCAAATTGCCCTTTAGAAGAGTTTATCTTTTGACATTCTATCAGTAGAGGGCAAGACAGTATATATTTCCACAAACCTCTCTAAGAGAAAGTATTGTTGAACAATTGGATCTTTGCTAGTCTGATAGAGCAGAAAGTATCTTAGTATAGTTTACATTTGCATTTCTCTTAGTATGAATGAGGAGTGAAGGTCAACATTGTTTCATGTATAAGAGGCATTTTTGTCTTCTTCCTTCCTTGTGTCTTTCTTTTGGAACTCTGTTCTTATATTTTGCCCATTTTTTCCTATTCCTATTGTGTTGATGTTTCATTTCACCTTAATTTCTAGCAGCTCTTTACATAGTGAGTTGATAAGTAGAGTGATTAACTCCTTCTGTCTATAATATGGATTGCAAATATTTTTCCCAGTTTACTATTTATCCTTGACTATGGTTTCTTTTACTTGAAGAGGTTTTAGATTTTTATATAGCCATATTTATCAAATTTTAAATGGCATCTGAATTTTGAGTCACAGAAAAACCTTCTTAAATCCAAGGTGATAAAAAATCTCATTTTCCTCTAGTACTTTTGTGAAGAAAGGATCCATTTCCCCCCCCAATGATCACCCAGTTGTCATAACACTATTTACTTTACTAAAGCATTTTTACTCCACAAAATGGAGATGCCAACTCTATCATACAGAAAACTCCCATACATATTTGGATCTTCTGAATTTTCCATTATTTTCCATTGGTTTGTTGTCCATTAATGCACACACTGTTTTCATCACTGATACCTCATAGCATGTGTAATATTTGGTAGGATTAATTTCTTCTCATTGTTTTATTTTTCAGAGTTTTATTGGCAACTATTGCTTATTTTTTATATTAACTTCAGATTTAACTTGCCTAGATTTTTAAAAATGGTTGCTATTTTTATTGGAATCAGGTTAAATGAAAATATGAAGTTATAATCTGTTTACTATTCAAATTATCCTATCTTTACCAGTGAGAATCATTTTAAGTTGGCTTCAAGTTTTTTTTAATTAAATAAAATGGTTATAAAAAATTAAAAATCCCTTTACGTACACATCATCCAGGTTTAACTATTATTAACTAAAGGCCAGTCTTGTATCATCTATACTCATCTTTACTCCCCCACCCACAGATTACTTTTAGGCAAATACCAAGACATTATATATATTATTTAATTCATAAAATATTACAGTAGGTACTAAATTATAAGGACTCTTTTTTCCCAGCTTTGAGATATAATTATCATATAACATTGTATAAGTTTAAAGGTGTACAATGTGATGATTTGATACACATATATATGAGAAATGATTAAGAACTTTATTTTTATTTATTTTAAAGATTTTATTTATGTATTAGAGAGAGAGAGCATGAGCAGGGGTAGGGGCAAAGGGAGAGGGGCAGAGGGATAGAGAGAAGCAGACTCCCTGCTGAGCAGGGAGCCCGCCATGGCATGAGGGGCTCAATCCCAGGACCCTGAGATCATGAACTGAGCCGAAGCCAGATGCTTAACCAACTGAGCCGCCCAGGCACCCCAAGGACTTCTTTTTTTTTTTTTTTTTTTAATTTTTTTTTATTGTTATGTTAATCACCATATATTACACCATTAGTTTTTGATGCAGTGTTCCATGATTCATTGTTTGTTCATAACACCCAGTGCACCATGCAAAACGTGCCCTCCTCAATACCCATCACCAGGATAACCCATCCCCCCACCCCCTTACCCTCTAGAACCCTCAGTTTGTTTTTCAGAGTCCATCATCTCTCATGGTTCGTCTCCCCCTCTGACATACTCCCCTTTTCTTCCTCTCCTGTTATCTTCTTCTTTTCCTTTTTTCTTAAAATATTTTGCATTATTTGTTTCAGAAGTACAGATCTGTGATTCAACAGTCTTGCAACATTTCACAGCGCTCACCATAGCACATACCCTCCCCAATGTCTATCACCCAGCCATCCCATCCCTCCCACCCCCAACCACTCCAGTAACACTCAGTTTGTTTCCTGAGATTAAGAATTCCTCATATCAGTGAGGTCATGTGATACATGTCTTTCTCTGATTGACTTATTTCACTCAGCATAACACCCTCCAGTTCCATCCACGTCGTTGCAAATGGCAAGATCTCATTCCTTTTGATGGCTGCATAATATTCCATTGTGTATATATACCACATCTTCTTTATCCATTCATCTGTCGATGGGCATCTTGGCTCTTTCCACAGTTTGGCTATTGTGGACATTGCTGCTATAAACATAGGGGT